CCCCCCCCCCTGCATCATTAAATTCTGATTACCCTAGAGGTTATCATAATAGTTTTTTTTTCTTAAGGCAAACGAAGGTTTCAATATATGTTTGATCAACTTTCCTTTCCAATTGGTATTACTTTAAAAAAAGCAAGTGGTTTACGCTTGCATACATGTTTGGATTGGGTTCTTTTTTCATAGAAAACGCCCCTACACGTTAGAGGTCAACATACCCGTTTTGTAAAAGAAAGTATGTCTCTTTAGTGAGCAAAACTGACCATCTACACTTTATTTCAGGTACAGAACCATAAACGGCATACACTTCAGAACAGTTTTCTTCTTAGGCGTTCCAGGTGAACTTTCATGGAAGTGGAATTCCAGTGGTACACATAGTTCCCACATGACGTCAGATTTACTCAACTTGGGAATTAAACGCCGGGACAGAGCAGGAGTTATTGCTAAGATCAAAGAGGAAAGTAAACAATATGGAGACATTGTACAAGGCAATTTTACAGAAGCGTACAGGTAACTTTGAGAGCATTTCTAGTCTAAGCAATGTTGTGGCATATTTGAACAGTGATAACCACACAAATCATACACACTTTTACATATTTAAAAGCATGCTTCCTGCCTGCCCTTAATGATTTAGATAAAGAAAACATAATTGGAAATAGAGAACGAATAACCAAATTGTACTTTACAAAAAAGAGTACCAAAACGTCTGTTCTTCCAGCGTTGTCAAATGATCAGAATGCATGTCCTCAATCAGTAAATACGGCGTCGGGGATAAGAATATTATCATTTGGAAAGCGGGACTGAATTCCGGTGCTCTCTGTGTTGTGTCCAGTTAATACAGAGTGAGCTGTCCATTAAGTCTAGTTACTGTGGAGTCATGTTAGCATCTTTCCTGAATGTTACACAACTGTTGCATTCCTTACCCACTGTTGCGTACCTACACCTATTATATATATATATATATATATATATATATATATATATATATATATATATAAAAATATAAAAATATATGTGTGTGTATGTATGTGTGTGTGCGTGCGTGTGCGTGTGTGTGTGTGTGTGTGTGTGTGTGTGTGTGTGTGTGTGTGCGTGTGCGTGCGCGTGCGTGCGTGTGTGTGTGTGTGTGTGTGTGTGTGTATGTATGTGTGCGCGTGTAACTCTGAATGCTATGATGCCGAGTCTGACAATTGCTTGCAGGCAAAAATAAAATAAAAATCAGCCCGTAAACTTTAGAGGGCATTTATTTTCTACAAATACAGTCGAACCTGTTCTAACAGCTAACTGTATTTGATAAATCGACTGTACAAACGGCCACTTCCAATTTCTTTCATTGAGTATTTTTTTGACATTATGATGTCACTCCATTTACTGACCGTCTTAGACAGTTTTGACTGTAACTATAAATTCAAGAGGGACTCCACTGGCCTAATGGCTATTTTTAGTTACATTTTCCCCTGTATGGTATGTTCCAGGGATCAAGAGATATTATTGCACCAACTTACAGCCTTCTGGAGTCTGGAACTAATAAGAAGAAATAAAAGCTCGTCATTGTGCCCCCGCCCGTAGCCATTAAGAAACATTTGATTAGACTACAGGCTCTAACGTTCTTAGACTACGAAATCAACTTTTCTCTCATGTTAGAATGCTTTTTAAAATCATCTTATGCCCACATTTCTTTCAGAAATTTGACTATCAAAAACATCATGGTAATGAACTGGGTCCTGTCTCGCTGCCCTAAGATACAATACATCTTAAAAGTAGACACTGATGTAGTGGTGAACCTGCACAACGTCGTTCGCTTCATACAGCACAGGTCACATAACAACACAGGCTTGCTGTTATGTTCACAGATGAAGGTACTGTCGATAACTAAGCTTGTCCTTGTGTACATCGCGATTTTTGGTATTGTTTCTATTCTTGATATGGACCGGCCCTTGGTATTGGCGCTACTGGAGTAGTTGCTGTTGTCTGTGGTGTTGTTGTTGTTGTCGTTATCGTCGTCGTTGCTAATGTTGCTGGGTTTTTTTTAATGGTTTTTTTTTTGGCTGTGTTGTTAGTGGTGTTGGTGGTGTTACATCGCCATGGTCATTGTTATCACTGGGTTTTTTTTTGGTCAAACTGTGTGAATAATTTGATATTATGTTGTGACCGCTATTGTTATTGACTTTACTTTGGTATAGTTATTGACTGTAGCGAGTGCTTTTAGTTTTGTGGCCAAGGAGCCTTCCGTCTTCTTGATGTTTTTAAAAATGCCCCCCCCCCCCCGCTGCTACTTTTTGCCTTGTTATCGTAGATGTACTAGATGTTGTTTGACATGTTGTTTTAACAATTGCCTGGACTTATACCATGATGCTGTTATTTTGTATCCGTATGAGCGCCATTTTCTGGTTTAGGCATCGAAAAATTGTTTTGCTCTTTTCTAAGCATCGGTAACTCACCTCGTTGATAAATACCACTTCAAATCAACTCTGCTGTAAGGTGAAAAAACGGTCTTTATCTTTGTTGAGATAACAACAAATAACAACTGATAACAACAAATAACAACAAATAAAAACAAAATAATGACACATATCAACACACACGTCCTAATTTAGTTGCTTTTACTTGTTTTTTAAGGTAGTCTGCCACAGTGTTTATTTTTGTCGGGATAACGACAAATAAAAACTGATAACAACAAAAAACAACTGATAAGAAAAAGATAACGACAAATATCAGCACAAACATTCTAATTTAGTTGCTTTTATTTGTTTTTTAAGGTAGTCTACGTTGCTACAACAACTGACAACATTTGATAACAACAAATAACAACTGATAACAACAATACTGAAGACAGCAAAATATCAACAAATATCAACACAAATGTGCTTACATAAAGTGATCAATCCAATACACGTTTTTAATAATGCTATTTTCAATGTCACACAAAACTGTATGACAGGACAACAAATTGTGATGACATGATTACATACAACAGGACTTAAGCCGGTACTGAAACTGCAGGATTTGTCAGATCTTGGCTATACAATCATTCATGGAATTCATATTTTAGTCAATTTTAGTCAATTAATCAATTAAATTTTAATGTCTCAAAATGTCATGTCATGCACGTTGGAGAGAGAGAAAAAAAGACATGAGGAGACAGGATTACGAATTTTTCCAATAAATTGTTACTTTCGATTTTACTTTCGATTTTTAATGTTAACAAAAAAGGGGAAGCAACTCCGATCATCGCTAAAGAATATTCTACTTCTGGCAGTTGCTCGGAGTTGTGCACGTAAAGTAGGGACCTGGTTGACCACATGAATATTGATTTATGAGGTTGGAATAAAAGTATTATTGTGTTAACATGTTATCAGTTGTTATTTGTTGTGATCAGTTGTTATTTGTTGTTATCAGTTCTTATTTGTTATTGTCAGTTCTTATTTGTTGTTATATCGACAAAGATAAATACCCCTGACAAAACACCTTTTCAAATTTCACATCACTTATTGTCCTACTTCACATTACTCAGATAGTGAATGTATCACTTGCCATAGGCACAGTACCTAATACTTTCAAACAAGCTATTGTAAAACCTTTATTGAAAAAACCCGGGCTTGATAAAAATTAATTTTAAAAACTATCGACCAGTTTCGAATTTGCAATTTGTCTAAAAAATTCTAGAGAAGATTGTTTTAAGTCTAATTTTGTCTCACATGAGAAAAAATGGTCTTGGGGAAATTTACCAATCTGCCTATAAAACTCATCATAGTACCGAAACTGCGCTTTTAAAAGTAACGTCTGATTTATTGGATTCCGTTGATGGCAAAAACATCTGTTTTTTAACTCTTTTGGATCTGTCCTCAACTTTTGACACAATTGACCATGCTATTCTACTCACAAGACTTGAGCGCTCATTTGGCTTATCGGGTACTGTGCTTTCATGGTTTAAGTCATATTTACTCGAAAGAGTTCAGTCAGTGCAAATTAAAATAGCTTTTCAAAGCAGGTCAGGCTCGATTATGGAGTTCCACAGGGGTCCGTTCTTGGACCAGTGCTCTTTACACTATATACACAGCCCTTAGCAAGCATTTGACAAAATCATGGATTGAATTATCATTTTTATGCCAATGATTCCCAAATGTATGTTAATGGCACCATTCAATATCTGCCAAACATGATTTCTATCACTAAACAATGTTTTAATGAAATTAAAAAGTGGATGACAGTAAACAAATTGAAACTAAACGAAGAAAAGACAGACATCATTCTTATAATAAATCCACGATTAAATAAAGATCTGGAAAGTGTCAACTTTGATTTGTATGGGCATATGACATCTAGTAAAGAAGTTGTCAGGAATCTCGGTGTATATATTGACCACCACTTATCAATGGGCTCGTTTGTAGGATCTCTGTCCAAATCCCTTTATTTTCAGCTGAAAAGGATAAGCCTAGTTCGAAAGTACTGAACCGAAGAGACCACAAAAACACTGGAAACATCTCTTATCCTATCTAGATTAGACTATTATAACTCACTCCTAGCAGGTCTGAACAACAAATATTTGAATCGTTTACAAGTAGTTCAAAACAATGCCGCTAGACTGATAACAAGATCTAAAAAACGAGGCCATGCCACTCCATTGTTAAAAGAACTGCATTGGCTCCCTGTAAAAGAAAGAATAATATGTAAATCTGCGTCATGTGTTTCAAATGTGTAAATAAAACTGCTCCTTTTTTATCTACAAGAACTTATCAGTATATATAAGCCAGGGAGAAACCTAAGATCATCAAACGATAACACCCTACTTGTGACACCTGTAAAATCATACAAATCATAAGGAGAGAGATCTTTCTCATGTCTTGGTCCATTTATGTGGAACAGATTACCCATGAAACTAAGACAAATAAAAACACTTGATAGCTTCCAAAGACATCTTAAACATTTTCTGTTCCTACAGGCCTATCCTTCATAAGCTTTTAACGTTATTTTTCATTATAGTTGTTCTGTCTGAATGAAAATAATCTGTGTGTGTGTGTGTGTGTGTGTGTGTGTGTGTGTGTGTGTGTGTGTGTGTGTGTGTGTGTGTGTGTGTGTGTGTGCATTAATGTATACAGTCGAACCTGCCCTGACGGCCACCTCTATAAGACGGCCACCTGTACAAACGGCGGCCACTTTCCATTTCCCCCCCTTGCGTTTTTTTAATATTATTTAACTGTGTAAAACGGGCACCTGTCCAACGCGGCCACGGCCACCATAATTTAACACACAACCCCTATCATACTAAGCAATAACACCTGTCTAAGACGGTCACCTTAGTGACTCCATTACGTTTTGTCATAAATTGTGCATTGGCCCCTGGCGTTGTGGGCGAGCCGTCATAATTCAATCACCTGTCGTTGTTGTTAGGTAGTCCCTCCAACCGATCATGTTGCGTAGCCCCCCCCCCCCCACTGTTGACCAATAGCTACCAATTTTCAGCTGCTGGTGAGGTAAGCGTGTGATCCCTCATAACCCATAAGCCCCGCCCAGAACTCATACACAAATCGTACGTGAGATGAGTGGTCACTGTTTACCCAGTCTGTAACAAAGTAACAAAGGACGTCAACATGAACTTGTTACAGAAGCGCCACTCGTTATCCGAGTGGTGGCGACCCATCTGTTTGTTTTAACATGGCACTCAGTCTTCCTTTTGTGATACATTTCGTTTTATTGTCACCCTTGTGCAAAATCAGCGACAAAATAAAAATTACAAACGAAATACAAACCAACAACAACACCAACAAAGACAACATAATGGGGCTACTTTCGATTGGGGCCTCAGATGGGAATGGTTTGTTTTCTTTATCTTGATCAGTCCTGCCTAAGATGGCCACCTGTCTTATACGGCCACTTTTCTCCTTGACAATGGGTGGCCGTCTTACACAGGTTTGACTGTATTGCATGCTATTGCATATCTATCCGTTGGTGTCACCAAAACTTTAATTACATCACTTATATTGTCAAGGATTGATTGTTTCAATTCCTTACTGGCTGGTGTACCTGATGAACAGTTACAACAACTGCAAAGAGTACAAAATATTGCTGCCAAAATAATTACTAAGAAACTAAAGCATGATCACGTGACTCCTATTTTAAAAGAATTACACTGGCTCCAGGTGAAAGAGCGTATCATATATAAAATCTGTTTAACTTGCTACAAGTGCTTATATGATTTATCACCGGACTATCTAAAACAGTTTTTAACACCCTATGTGCCTCCTAGAACGCTCAGATAATCAAGTGACAAAACAACCTTTGTTAAGCCTACAATAAATTACAAATCATATGGCCAACGCTCTTTTTCATATTTTGCCCCACTTGTTTGGAATAGGCTTCCAAAAACTATCAGAGAAGCAGAAAATCTAGAAATTTTAAAGAAGAAACTAAAAGCATTTCTATTTTCATCATATTTCGATTAGACAGAATCCATCCAAGCTGTAGATCGTTGTGAGTTTGTATGTGAGTATGTGCATATTATGTGTATGTGTGTATGTATGTGTGTATTATGTTTGTGTGGTGCGTGCGTGCATGAATATGTGTGTGCACGAATATGTAACACTATGTGCCTTTAAGATTGATTTGTAAATCCATGATATGTATAATAATAATAATAATAATATAATAATAATAATAATAATAATAATAATAATAATAATAATAATAATAATAATTTAAAAAAATAAAATAATAATAATAATAATAATAATAATAATAATAATAATAATAATAATAATAATGATAATAATAATATATAACATTTATATAGCGCATTTACGATTATGTAACACTATGTGCCTTTAAAATTGATTTGTAAATCCATAATATGTATAATAATAATAATAATAATAATAATAATATAATAATAATAATAATAATAATAATAATAATAATAATAATAATAATAATAATAATAATAATAATAATAATAAAAATAATAATAATAATAATAATAATAATAATAATAATAATAATAATAATAATAATAATAATAATAATAATAATAATAATATATAACATTTATATAGCGCATTTCCAAAAAAGTAGCTCAATGCGCATAGAGCATTGCATAAGTGGATATGCGCTATATAAATGCAATCCATTATTATTATTATTATTTTTATTATTATTATGAGAAGAAAGGTTTTTGAAAAATGGGTATTCCAATGTAAATAAAGCGCATTGAGCTACTTTTTTGGAAATGCGCTATATAAATGTTATATTATTATTATTATTATTATTATTATTATTATTATTATTATTATTATTATTATTATTATTATTATTATTATTATTATTATTATTATTATTATTATTATTATTTATCACTTTCGAGAAATCAACGATTTTCGGTTTTCTTATAAGTATTTTGCACGGTACATTAACGGCTGCTCTCGCACCTGAAGTGAACGCTTTTTCCTGTGCTCAACAGATATTATTAGAAAGCGGAAAATCGCTGATTTATCGACATTGCTGTGAATAAGAAAAGGGCGTTTTGTCAGCGTACAGCAGAACTGCCCATCAACCCTTTCAGCCTCTCGACATAGCAAAACTGAACCTGAGAACTTCCAACTCTTTCGATGATGTAACAAGCAGCCGCTATGTTGATCTCAGCCTACCCTGAACGAGAGGGGGTGCAATAACAAGCCTGTATGCGTAAATGTATCATGAACATGTCTCTGAAGGACCAACTTTAATCACTTGATATGGGAGAGCTTAGCTCCTGACAGACCCACTTAGAGAGCAGCAGTCACAGAGGGCAGCAAATCATACGAAGCCCACGAGTTAGATCTAGAAGTCCTGAGGCCAAGAGAGAAGCCCGCAAGCTGCCCACCTCTACAGGTAGAAATGAGTAACTCACCTGTGCCTGAGTTGGTTTCATTGGCTACAGCAGAAGCCAAACGTCACCATAATCCTTCTTTGTTCTATATTATAGCTTTAGAAATGTTCTCCTCGGCATTGTCGGACATTGATGGACGAACAGATGATGATGATGATGATGATGATTGTTGTTGTTGTTGTTGTTGTTGTTGCTGCTGCTGTTGCTGCTGCTGCTGCTGCTGCTGTTGTTGTTGTTGTTGTTGTTGTTGTTGTTGTTGTTGTTGTTGTTGTTGTTGTTATTATTATCCTTATCCTTATTGTTCATCACTCGTTTAAACATCATTTATAAGACAAGATCGAAGAATGCAACACAATCTGTGATTATACTCACAAAAACGAAATCGAAAATCGAAACATATTCTTGGTTGTTATTGTGTGTATTAAATTCTAAACAATAATAGTTCGTTGTTTTGTTCAAATCTGATCAGATTGATAGCTATTTGTAGTCTGAATTCATTTGAAATTAGCCAAGTTGTAGAGTGTGTTCGTAAACGAACAGTAAGACATTACGCACTGTATTTTTCTATCCAGTTCTTATGACAAGAGTTTTCTCACACTTTTCGAGGACCCTTTTCTTTACGTTTTCTTTCATGTTTTTTACTCCAAGCGATTCGTAATACTCCTTCACCCTATATACCTTTTTCTAGGCGAAACCGGCAATAAGGAGCACATCTAGTAAATGGTACGTCACAGAGAATGAGTACCCTTTTTCCTACTACCCTCCCTGGTGCCTGGGCTTCGGAATCCTCATGTCACGTGACGTGGTGCAGCAGCTCTACCTCGCCTCCCGTGACGTTCGTGCCTTCTGGATTGATGACGTCTACGTGACAGGGTTCCTGGCGATGAAAGCTGGAGTGCAGGTCACAGCTTTAGGTGGAAACCACACAGCGCAATTGGGTGGAAAATTCAAGGCCGACAGCGTTAACGCCATGTTCACTTTGGCTGACTTTTTTAAGATCAACACTACGGCTTTCAGATATTGGGAGCAACTCGTGACGTCACAGACACTGTAACTAATAACTCCCACCTGAACTCCTAACATCTAAACAGAAAATGAGATAGGGCCACCAGTTAGTAGTAACGTACTTGTCATTGTATCAATTTTGCAGACAGTTTCTAAACTTTATGGGACCGAGAGAGTACGGGGGCATGACTAAAAGATGTTTTCTTTATCAATAAAGTAGTCTGCTGACAAATCTCTGCTTTAGGAGCTGATTATCGTGGTTGTCGTGGATTTGAGAGAAAATTATAATTTTGTGTTCGTGTTTCTTCTTCAAGTCTCTTCAGGGGCGGGGGTTGGGGGTTGGGGGGTGGGGGTGGGTGGGGGTGGGGTGTAGAATGGTAATGCACACTGATGACCCAACTCAGATTTAGTCCGGTTCTCAACACTAACACTGTTTCACGAGCCATTTATGTAATAAAGTTGTCATTGGCGATGTTGAACTGAGATCTGAAAGTATACAGTAGTTTGAATAGCCTCTCATTTGCTACTTTCATTCCCTTTGAAGGCCTTGGGGTTTCTGTTGTTTGGGGGCTTCGTATGTACCTTGTTTCCCGTGTTTTTTTCCTCTCATTTTAGTTATAGCTTGTTTTAATCTTGTACTTCGCATTTTAAAAAGATTCTAATCAGGGGCGGCTAGTGGGGCTAAAAAGTGGACGTGCACAATTTAATTAAGCTATCGCATGCTGAAGATAGTCAAGGGCAAAGTCAATGAGACTGTGCATAATTTTAGGATCTTTGGGTTGGTGAGGGAGGACCTCGTTCTTTTATTTTCATCCTTTTTACTTGCCTCTTTAATTTCTAGTACTAAATTTGTTTGTTAGCTAAACATCAATTTCGTTCATCCTGTATTGGAACTGAACACTAAAGTAACAACTTTCACTACTCCACTACAAAACCATTCAAAGGCACAACTCATAGGATGGTCACATTCACCTCCCTCAAATTCACGGTCACAGAGTCACTTTAAAAAGTGGCAACACAGACAACGAGCCAATCACAATTCACTTGAGCACTCCGCTGGATTGCTCCGGGGCTCACATAATATTGGCAAAGAAAAGCGTACGGTCTATCGCGTTTATTTTTAGACAGCCCCCTGTGGGCTATGTTGCGGCACTATTCGGCAGGAGCACATTTATTGAGATGTGCCGTCTCGTTAATATTAATGTACCGCCAAACTCGCTACGAGTGTCGTCATCGCTTGGGTTATCCCCAAGAGCGATTTATAGGTCAGGTTACACTGTTGAATATCCTATTATGTTTAGCTAAAGCGCGTGGACTTTGGCATGGTATAGTAGCTGTTTTACGCGCTATAGACACAGAAATGACAGTTGTGGCGCCAGTGAGGACCCTGTTTTGATATAATATTTGGCTAGTGTTTGTTTCTGGCTTCTTTTATTTTATTATTGTTGGTGTTTTACGTAATAGAAATTAAAATTTTTTTGGCGCCACTGCACGGCCGTGCTCTACGGACGAACCGCGCCTGATTCTAATGTCTGAACTGCAAACATTGAGTCGTCGCGTTTCTCGCTGACAGAAGCAAGCAAACGCCCTTTCCTCATTTCTGTCACCTTGCACCCGTCTGGGTCTTTCAAGAAATGGTTTTCTCGAACGCTAAAACACGTTTTCGTTGTCAAGATAGAACGTCGATACAGATGAAAGTGACTCAAAGAGAAACACATATGAACGATAGCTGTATGTCCAGGCAATTTTATTTTGCAAATTTCAGAATGAACACATTTTCGTCTTTTTTGTTTTCACTGTTGCATTTATTTACAAGAGATAACAGAAAGTTCAGAAAGAAAACAATTAACAAATAACTAAACAAAAGATACAAGTGTTCAGAAGCATTGTCAAAACAATTCTTTCAAATAAAAGCAACAAAAGCTTCAGTTTTTCTTAAAAGAACCCCCCTTTTCACTAAGATTAAATGTTGAAAGAAATATGATTTTGGTGGGTCTGGGTTTGCGACAGTTTTACCAGCTGAGACCTAAGGATTATTATTGTCTATTTACCTGCTACAGAGGGCGCATTGTATTTACATGTATACTTCTGTGTTTACACACACAAACACACGCACACCCACTCACACAAATCTCGAAGAAAACGGGAGGAAAAATTTACTTGTTAGAGTGCGGCAATTTTTAAAAATTTTTCACGTGTCATAACTTTAAAAAGGTACCAAGACCGGCCAAGAAGATGTACATAATCTTGAAAAATGTTTCCACTATCAAAGAAAGAGTTGTGTTTCGGAAAAAAATGGATGGTGTTGGAGAGAAGGGGGTGGGGGTGGGGGTGGGGGGGAGTGGTCGGTTATAGTGATATTAATGTTGAACAAAATCTTCACTATTGTCGTAATCGAAAAAATATCGAAGGTTTAGGGTATCAAGATGCTATGAAATCATGAAAATGACTTTTTTTTTTTTTTTTTTTACTGTGTTTTTGTTTTTGACCTCCACCATTTATTTATGAACAATAGCCAAGTGAAATAAAGCCTCCTATTTAGTAAACAGAGGTTTTTGCATGCCCATATCCATTCCAATCGCCCTTGGCAACAGTTTTTTTTACATTGGTTACTACCCTATTTTCTCCATAAAGTACCAATTTGAAATGCAAAAAAAAAAGCAATAATTAACCCAGAAGTCTTCCAAGCAGAAACCAACTAAAGTATAAGTACTACGGACTTGTACTCTTAAAGTAAGTTAGTACCTAAAATGTGTCTGTGATGTCAATGTCGATACATTTTTTTTTTTTTGTCCATATTCTCAAAACGATATATTTTGGGCTCACAGTTGGTACAAACCCATAAAATCATTGTTGTTCAAGATATCTAGACCTATCTGATATTTTGCACACATACTCTCAAGACATCGGTGCATGTTCTAAACTTTAAAAAGGGCTCCATCTTGAAAAACTGTCCTTTAATTGTGATTCTTGCATAAATAATTAGTTTCCTTTTTTTGCTCTTTTTAATCAATTGCATGTTTAACCTCAGTACAAACGCACTTTTCCCCCCCAATAGCTACGTTTGTAGGTTTAAGATATGCAGTGGGTATTCGAGAACATTTCTCGAAAGTTTCAAGAAACGTGCCTACATTGTGCCTTCGGCGTCCATATTGGAAGCCTAATTTGCATGATATTCAATTTCTTATTCGACATTTAAAATGTTTTCTTCACATATCCCTGTATACCTAGATATGGTCAATGTAAGGTATGATAGATAAACAGTAAAAAAAAAAGAAGGTTTTAGCATCCTGATACCTTAAATATAAACTTTTTTTTCGAGTGTATGACATCCAAGCCGTAATATATTGGAAGGCGGTGTGTACGGAGGATTCAATGGCTTTTGTATTTTGTATCGTTTTTGAGAGGGGGAGGGGAAGGAAGAGTGCTGGGTGACTTGTGTGTTCTTTGATTTTTAGAACGGTATTTTAGCATAATCAGAGAAAAATGGCCTCATAACAAGACAGTAATAAACGTGAATGAAGAAAGACAGTGGGAGTAGCACGACAATACACCCAACCGGTGCACAATGAATAGGGACGTTAGAAGAAAGCAATTGTCAATGGACGAGTTAGACGTGGTAAATTTTAGACTTTTGGTAAATGACACCCTACTTAACAAGATTACAAAAGTTCAGACCTCAGAACAATATACTATATAAAAGCAACGAAAACATAAGTGACATACGATGCATCGGGAGCTACGGTAACATTTTCGGGTTAACAACTTAAAATGCTGTAAAATATAATTTGTAAAGATAAAAAAGAACGTTATGTTCTTTTTAAAGAGATTTTTTTTTCTTTTAAGTAAGTGTACTTTTCGGTCCAAAGGACCCAATTAATTAATTAGTGGGCAGGCTTCTTCTACCCTGCCTGTCAGGGCCAACCCCGGTTGAGAGGTATACAACGTCCAAGCAGAACGACCGAGACAGGGGTACTAAACACAATAAAAATTATCCCCATCGATAATCGAACTCGGGTCATGTGTGGGAAAGTGAATCGCCTAACCGCTACACCACAGACGCCAGTAATTCATGTTCAGTTCAAGTGTCAAGAATTTGATCTATTGAAGAGGCACACGATTGTCTAAGCAGATTTTTGTCTAGGCAGGTAATTTATCAAATTTTATAATTTTCATGGGAAGTCTCTCTTAATTGTAAAATTTGTTTGCTTCATGTAATGTGGGCTTTAAAGAGAGAATAAATCGACTACATAAAGGGGACTAAAAAGGCAAACGCAGGATAAATGACAAAAGTGGAAAATAATGTTGACCTTATCAAGGGAGATTTGTATTATGTCCTTCTCTTCAAACATGGTGATCTTGGGGTAAAACTGCCACAATAAGAGGCTATCTTCTCGTTATTATTAACGAAATATGATATAAATAAATATAATATAGATTAATATACGAATCAATTAAAAAGCAAAAAGGGGGTATATGAATACTTTGATAGTTTCTTTTCCAGAAGTGAGGGAGTACGCTGGCCAAAGTGAAAACAACAGTTTTTAATAATAACATTATTATTTACAATCACCTTTGTAAGACTCACGGTATGGAAAATAAGAAGAAAAGATCAACCATAAAATTTTTTAAAAATACCAATGAAAAAGCAGTTTCTTGTTTGGTTTCATCCATCTCCATATATTGAGTGAACTAAAGTGTTGATATCTGTGTTATAGAGCACTAACGAGCTTTCTTTAAAGTGCCTCTTCGAACAAATTGTTCAGCTCTGACTCCGATAAAAGGGTTGCTTACGGGCAAAGTTTCGTTTAAAAACATATACCCTGGCGTCGTTTGTTTTCATAATGTTTTAAGGGGGGGGGGGGGGCTACACCTGGAGGCTATCTCGCTTATTACTGGACCATATTTTACCAAACTTCACACTTATAACAAGCATAGTAAGGAGTCTCAATTAAAATCCGCAATCAAATTTTAGAAAAAAGTTTTATTTCCATGGATATGGCGGCCATATTGGCTTTTTGTTGACATGTCTTACGTAATGAATACCGCACTTATTGCTCATGGAAATTGATTGTTTTTTTGCATGCGTGTTCACAAACATTAGATCTAAAAATTTGTCTGTCATTTTTTTCCTAATCGAATTAGAAAATTTTTAATGAATTTTTTCCTGAGGTAGCATTCAAGTTTGCGAAAAATCCGTGAAAATCCACACTAAAGACACCACCAACAAAAATCTATTCCATATATCAAATATTTAACAGACAAATCTTTAGTATTACCTCTTCTTTAATTTCTGTGAAAATTTCATGAAGATTGGATGAAAAATGGTGGAGTTATTCAAAAAAGTATCGACAAAAGTAGCATTTTGAGAAAACGGCCCATAAAGAAAAATACAATACTGACTTTATGAGGAAATGGCGGTGACAAACATGCCCGGTATGGGAAAAAATACGATTTTTAGGGGTTCTTATGCCATGAAATAGTTGTAGGAGAGGGTAAGGAAGCTAAAAATGCCTACAACTCGAATTCCATGATTTTGAGCCGAATTTTGATTTTGGGGGTGTAGCCCCCCCCTTAAGGCATTTGTTGCCAAACGGCATCATTATTCAGAAGTAGACCACTTGACTGGCACAGAGCGCACAGGAGGGCAAGGGAATAGCGAGCGGTGACAACACCAAATGAAGCGAAATCTTTATCTTCAAGTTCAAGACAGATATTCTCACAAACACAAACGTAAACTTTATGAAGTTTTAGATGTACTCGTATAAGAAGGAAGTTTGATACTTTAAGGGAAAAAAAATACTGTTCTTTCGCGATACCAACTAGAATCTACTTTTACCTGTAACGAAGACATAGATTGAAAAAAAACAAACTTCCTTTTTCAATGGCAGAAATGCTCGCTATACTAGTTTTGGATATTAGGCAAGCTCGCTACTCCAATGAGCTGCTTGTGCGCACATCACATTACACGGAACCATTTCACCTCGTACACGTAAAAAAGAAGTCGCAATCAACGAATTGCACGCCATGTATATCTACAACAACAGAAGATTTGTCAGACGAAACAATTGCTTGTTTACATTTTAAAATGGGGTCGGTGGACACCATGTAGATAATTTGGGCGGTGCCAACGCGGGGAAAGAGGGATACAACATCCCAGCAGAAAAAGGTACTCGATTAAAATATCCTCCCCATTCTGGAATTGAATTCGGGTCTCTTGCGTGCGACAGCAAAGTGTCTAACCACTACACTACAGATGACAGTGCGGAACATTAATTGAATACATTGATCAAAAGCAATGCGTGGGTGTAATTAATTACAAAAAATTGTGGGGTTAGTTAAAAGTTAACAGTACCACACGCACAAGTCCATAGGACGTAGGCCTTTCATTTTGAGCCGTTATTGATTTATTTCAAGTTTTCATAGGATCTGTGTGCATGCATCCGTTTCGTGCAATAGCGTCAATTTTCACTCCAAGTCGAGCACCTGCCAGCGAAAACGCCTATGCGTCACTTGCGAGGCTTGGCTAAAAGCTGACCTTCATTGCATCTGCGCACGAACACAAAGCCCTTTCCAAGACGGACAGAAATGACAATGGTCAGTGTATGGTAGGCTTTGAAAAACAAAACTATATCCCCGCACAAAAGTAGATCTAGTACGTGTACAACAGGCATTTGTATTTTTACTGGTATTGCAGATTTTAATGTCATGTCAATTTTTAAATTGCGATTTTTTTTTTAGTTTGTTGTAGAACTCAAATGTTTAAGTCAATAATATAACGAGTTATTTGAAAAAGTAGGCCTGATGCGGTACACTTATCGTGCATAAAAATAACGGCATAATATTGTGTAAAGAGTGTAATGAAAAGTGAGAATTTATGCAACAATGAAATGGGGGACTAAGTACTCAAAGCTTCCCAGTACTAATCGTCCGTTAATTATAAACAGCAATAGATAAAAGTCTAGGTAAGACAAGAATGGGAAGGTAGAAAAATACTTGTTTACAATGGAACGCTCCGAAAGTATGGGTTTAAGTGGGGGGTGGGGGGGGGGGGGGGGTTACACCTGAAGGCTATCTCGCCTATTAGAGAATCAAATTTTACCAAATTTCACACTTATAACAAGCATAGTCAGGAGTCTTAAAATCCGCTTTCAAATTTGATAAAAATGTTTCGTTTTCATGGATGAGGCGGCCATATTGGATTTTGTTGTCGTGTCTTACGTAATGAATACCACACTTGTTTTTCATGAAAATAGATTATATTTTTTGCATGCACGTTAGCAAAAAAAAAGATCTAAAAACTCATGTGATGAATTTTTTCAAGTTTGCAAAAATCCGTGAAGAATCCCGACACTCCAGACACCACCACCAAAAATCTATTCCATATATATATATATATATATATATATATATATATATATATATATATATATATATATATATATATATATATTCCATCAGACAAATATTTAGTATTATATTATCTTCTCTTCATTCTGTGACAAATTCGTGAAGATTGGATAAAAAAAGATGAAGTTATTCAAAAAGTCTACATAGAAAAACCGCGCTTAGAGAAAACGGGCGATAAAAGAAAAAAAAAAGACTGAATTTATGAGGAAATGGTGGTGACAAACATGCCCGGTATGGGAAATAATAAGGCTTTCCTAAAAATGCCTACAACTCAAAATCCATGATTTTGAACCGAATCGGGACTTTCGGGGTGTAGCCCCCCCCCTTCTTATTAACGCCCTTTTCAAAGTGTAAGGCTATTTAAGTGGTGGCACCTCTGAATTTAACGTCCATCTCCGATAAGACCAGCCAAATGGGTGAAGAACTTTGAAACTCCCAAGAACAACCAAAGTTCAGAATGCCTCGTTGGGGATTCCAATCAGGGTCATCCGCTCCGTAGTTCAACGTGATACCAAGTGAGCTAACGGCGCACCTTAACACTTCTCGACAAAGGTCACTGGCAAACATTCAGAAAGTAGGTGCAGTGAAGTAAGCAAGTTCAACAGACATAAGAATAACTTCGCGTGTGATGGTTATAATTTCTCTTGTCTGTTTTCTAATACTTGTTGGCAAATATGCAAACCAAAGTGAAACGTCAGCTGTTTCTCAAAATAGGACACTTTTAATCACAAAATTTAAACAGATTGTTTTCAAGCTTTTACATATTTGTGATAACCATAAGTAACATGAGTTCTACACGAGCCCAGTTGTGTTATTTATAAAATTCACATGTATCTCGCAGAACTATAGTTCTGGCAACGAATGTCAGTAAAACGCTCAGAAAGCAGCAATTCTTGTTTTCCTTGAAATATCAAAATATCTGAGGGTGCGAGTCGATTGTGCAAATTGTTGCCATTTTGTTGAGCGTCCTGGTGGGAATGGCTTCGAAGTTTCAAAGCATTAGATGCTACCCCTGCTCCACGTATCAGGATCTTCCTGGAGCCTCTTGCGATACTCTCCCTCAAACATGTAGTTCATATTGGACATATCCAGACTATGCGTTGAATGGGACAAAGCTCCGATATTCTGAACCTGTTCGATGTTCTTTGACTTCATTTTCTTCGCCCTGGCCACTAACAGACCCACACCGAGAGCTACGAAAACGAAAAGGGCAAGGGCAAGCGGCAAGGCAATAGCCAGGTACGTCTTGAGAGAGATGGTGGACATCGGGACACGAGGAACGGCTGTCTCCTGAGCGGGGGATAACGACACCAGGTTAGACGTATCGCCTTCATTTCCAGCCTCATCAATAGCCACAACACTAAGGAAAACGGTTCGGTTGTCCCTAATGGCGTGAAGGTGTACGATAATTTCCTCCGTGACTCCTGCTGGCTGCGGATAGGACAGAGTGCCGTTGAGCACCTGTTCTTTGGAAAGCAGGGTCGCTTTTGACCGGTCCAGAAGAAGCTGGTCAAAGTCTCCTGACGTGTGGATGAAGTATCTTGACGCTGTAGAGCAGAGCAAATGATACAGAATCAGTGGTTTTGGCCTTTAACCCCCCCCCACACACACACGCACGCACACACACACACACACACACACACACACACACACACACACACACACGCACACACACACACACACATGTGTATGTATGTATGTATGTATGTATGTATATATGTATGTATGTATATATATATATATATTTATATATATAAAAGATAAGATAAGATAAGATAATTCGTTATTTTCCCAAGGGCAAACTTTTCTTGGCTGTACTGGACCGTAAAACACATGCAGGTATACATAGAAATTAAATTATATATTACTCTCATTAGAATTCAATGTGAAAAGAAAAGTAAAATCAGATTCATCGTTCGACCACAAGCAGGAATTTATCACAAGACCTTTAGAGTGATATAATGTGTACATGTATATATTCGAAACAGCAATACACATTGATGTTTATTAAGACAGTAGTCTCATACTAGATGGTTAAAAACTTCTTTTGTCTTGTATCCTTCTTTGTTCTTTGTTTTTAGTGGTAGGTATCTGCCGCTGAGTAATCTTATAGTTTGTGTGGAAAGGGATTGTGATTCGTCGTTTATACGATTGATTATATTTTTTATACATAAATGTATGATCTTATACTTTTCATCCATTCTAGTAAAATTATGTCCTGGGATCTTGCTGGCTTTCTTAATGGTTCTGTCAATTTTTTAAAATGTCTTTCTCCATACAGTTTCCAGCCCATAATATTCCAGCCCTTATATTGTATAAGACTGCCAGCCCCGCTGTACCACTAAGTACATGCATGTATGACGGGGTTTGACTCTGTATCATATTTTATTAGGTCTTTCACACCCCCATTCGGACTGAGTTCAGGTTTATAAACTGCGTTTTTCGGGGTGTGTACCTTTTGGACCAGTTTACGTAATACCCGATCCCTTTTTGACAGGTTGAAAAAGTACATTTTTTTCTTTCCTTTGCTTTATCCTTCCTCAAGTATGTCGAGACTAGTCGTAATTTTACTGTCAAAGGCAGTCTTCTGTTGATTTGTTACTCTTTTAGAGGACTCATTAACGTCTTCCAGCCAAATTTGGTCTGGTTGGCACCTATTCCTGTATTCAGACACTTTTCAGTTTTAAGCTTGTGCAACGGGGTGATTTAGTGACATTCTCATTAGATGACTAAATAGTTGATTAAAAAATGTTCTATGTTTTCCATAACCGCTTTCTTTCCTGTTAAATTTGGGACAGTGTCGCTCCTTATGGGATGCAATTTTCTAAAATAGACTTCCGGGTCTAATTTGATAAAGCAAAGCAGAAGCCAATTTGAGTTATGTTTTCACTGGCGCAACCATAATCCGACACGACCCATTCCAATTTCATCGTACACGTCTGGCCCATTTGACCAATGGACATTCATTTTACCTGTACCCCTTTCCATGTCATCCCCTACTGCCGTCCATTGTAACGTAGCCGTGAAGTTATCGTAATCAAAGATAATAACTCTCAGATCTGTGATTCGAGACGGAGGCATTTCATCTTGCTCCTTCTCTTTGTTTAGTGTGGAGAATCCGCGGAGTCGAAATTCCCCCGCTGACGTCACACGCTGAAAGTTTTCCACTCTGGACGTCTCTGTGTTGATGAGTTGTCCTGTGTCAACCAAAGAGAAGGTATAATATTTGCTAGTTTTCCGGTGTAGGTAGGTAGACAGGTAGGTAGGTAGGTAGGTAGGTAGATAGGTGGGTAGGTACGTATGTATGTATGTATGCATGTATGTATGTATGTACTATGTATGTATGTATGTATGTATGTATGTATGTATGTATGTATGTATGTATGTATGTGTGTGTGCGCGTGTGTGTGCGTGTGTGTGTGAGTGTATGTTTGGGGTAGGGAGTGGGGAGGACAGACTGACAGACAGACAAGCAGACAGACAGACGGATGGATTAGATGGATAAATAGATAGATAGATCTTTGTGGATAATAATAAATATCATATATATATACAGTCAAACCTGCCCTGACGGACACCTCTATAAGACGGCCACTCGTACAAACGGACACTTTCCATTTCCCCCCTTGCGTTTTTTCTATATAATTTAACTGTATAAAACGGTCACCTGTCCAACGCGGCCGCGGCCACCATATTTTAACACACTCCTATCACACTCCTATCACACTAAGCAATAACACCTGATTAAGACGGCCACCTTAGTGACTCCATTACGTTTTGTCATACGTTGTGCATTGGCCCCAGGCGTTGTGGGCGAACCGTCACAATTTAATCACCTGTCGTTGTTGTTAGGTAGTCCCTCCAACCGATCATGTTGTGTAGGCCCCTCCCACTGTTGACCAATAGCAACCAATTTTCAGCTGCTGGTGAGGTAAGCGTGTGATCCCTCATACATAACCCATAAGCCTCGCCCAGAACTCATACACAAATCGTAAGCGAGATGAGTGGTCACTGTTTCCCCAGTCTGTAACAAAGCAACAAAGGACGTCAACATGAACTTGTGACAGAAGCGTCGCTCATTCTCCGAGTGGTGGCGACCCATGTGCTTGTTATAACGTGGCACTCGGTCTTCCTCGTCTGATACATTTCATTTTATTGTCACCCTTGTGCAAAATCAGCAACAAAATAAAAATTACAAACAAAATACAAACCACCACCACCACCAACAACAACATAAAAAACAAAATCAATGCGGCTACTTTCGATTGGGACCTCAAATGGGAATGGTTTGTTTTCTTCATCTTGATCAGTCCTGCCTAAGACGGCCACCTGTCTTATACAGCCACTTTTCTCCTTGACAATGGGTGGCCGTCTTACACAGGTTTGACTGTATATATTATATTATATATATATATATATACACATATATATGTATACATGTAATAGGTATATATACATTTGTATATACATATATAATATATATATGTATACATGTATATGCATACATTATATATTATAAATATATATATATATATATATATATATATATATATATATATATATATATATATATATATTATCATAATTAGTAAGAATATATTAGTATCATCATTTTTGTCATTATGATAATAATAATATGATAATAATAATAATAATAATAATAATAATAATAATACAAAATAACAATAATAATAGCAATGTTGTGGTCTAGAGATGACGGTGCTCGACTTTTATTCAATTGGTCCTGGGTTCTCCTTTCACGTCCTTTCCTGCCCTCTAACCATTTTTGTTGTCTGCTTTAGTCTCTACTTTATGTCCCCCCCCTTTTTTCCCCCTCCTCTTGGCTCCTTCTAGTGCTGTCTTTCAGCCACATACCTGATTTTATGGTAGGTAAGATCTAACACCTAGACTTCTCGTATAACGGGGAAAATGTCAGAAGTCCCGTGTGCAAATTGTGCATATTCAAGACCCCTTGGTGGTCCTAAAATCCATACGAGCGTCGGTCGCCATCCGGGCAAAATTCAAAATTTCTACCCAACTGAAAACCTTGAGTAGTTGCGAGCGCCGTAAAACACTTACAACATGAAGAAGAAAACTACTACTACTACTACTACTACTACTACTACTACTACTACTACTACTACTACAGTAATAACAATTCTATAAATATGATATGACGGTACAAATATTATTCATTCCACTTCTTACCATAGCTGTCCCATTTCTTTGGCCTTTCCGATATGTTTCGGGCACGCACCATTGAGCATTGTGACGTATGTGTACGCACTTTAGTTTCCATAGTGTAGTTCTAGATCTAGTCAATGATCATACATAACAAGATGGGCCACTCCTCTCTTTGAGCCAATTAAAAAAGTGTCCTCAAAATTCGGAGGCGCCCTCTTCGAAAATGAGCGGACTTTGCAAACAGAGTTACCCTACTAGTGTGAAAAACAATAAAAGTGAAACGAACAAGTTTTTGAATAAATTAGAACTCAAATGTCGGAAGAACGCTTTTTAAAAAAGTTTACGCTGACAAAAAAACCTGTTGCGGTGGAAGAGTCGACTGTTTTCTTCGTTTAATTTGACTTTAGAATGAGAGATGAGAGGTCATTAAAATTTTAAAAAACCCCTTAATCTCCGCACTGAACGTGATGAACAGAAGTCGATCTGCACGCACAAGGAGGTGCTATTCCTATTCTTCCTCTGGTGAAACGAAAGAGAGCTTCAAAACAAAGACTGCAGCGCCATCTGAGCCATTGCGCCGACTTCTGGCGGACACATTTTTGGCTGAGTGGACCATCTTGTTATGTACCATCGTTGATCTAGTCTAGTCATTAATATTTTTCTTTTTTGATGTTCCTGGCGAAGTCCTAAGATGGCGAAACGCTGACCGTATAAGATTTTTTAAAATTCTACAAGTCCCCACCGTTTTTTGTTGTTGCCATTTTGCATTCTACAATGATGATGATGATGATGATGATGATGATGATGATGATGATGATGATGATGATGATGATGATGATGATTAAAATGTAATGGTATATGTTTTACATACCCATCGACACAATTTAGCTCATTTAGAAGATGGGCCGCTTCAACCCTGTCTATCAGAGTTATTCCGAGGTGAATGGAACACAACGCCCCCCCCCCAAAAAAAAACAACAAACAAACAAAAAAAAAACTAAAAATAAAACACGCACCAAAACCCCCCACAAAAGAATCCAACAAAAAACTAATCGAGGTACTCAATAAAATCTCACTGGAAATGGGAATCGAACTTGGACGACGACGATGCGCCTAACCGCCACACCACAGAGGCCGGTGTCTGTGGCTTTATAATGGCCGATCTCCTTGTTTCTGTCATACAGGACGCCGTTCCGGCTTCAAAGCAGGTATGGTATAGTTTTCAAATATTTCAATCTTTCTGTTTAGAAATACCTCATACAGCCCAGACTGGCCTGGGAAAGTACGATTGAAGTGAACAAACTCCTATGGATAGATCTAGTATGAATTGTATCTCTGCGAGCATAAACCTTTGGCAGCTCACAAGATATTCAGTCACCATAGTCTAAAAACCTGCTGCACACAAAAGACATTATTGAATCCTCAGCAGAGTGTATGCACCTGCTGCACAAACAACATTAGCTTCCGTTGAGAGTACGCACCTGCTGTTTGCCTTTCCAAAGCTCTACTGGAAGTTCCTGTTCCACCCACAACGACCTTCGTCTTTCCTTCTTCTCCGATAACCTTGACTTTTATGTTGTACCTTCCATCCCCCATGAGGTCCTTTGCCATGATGTTAGCAGCATAGACGCCATCACCTTTGATGATGTCCGCACCTGAAGACAGTGCAAAGATGTCATAGACGTATACTTTTCCACAATGCCACTGTTTGATTGTTACTAGATCTAGTAGCGATAAGACGAGATTTCATGGGATGTATAATTTGATTGCACAGAAGACCATGGAAATATTTGTTTTTATTCGTAAAGTCAAGAAAGAGATAGAGGGGATAGGAGTCAACTGTGCCGTGCTGTGCCGTGCCGTGCCGTGCTGTGCCGTGCCATGCTTACTTGAGTGCTCGCGTGCGTGCAGCATGAATACATGCATATATGCATATATGCATGCATGTATGTATGTATGTATGTATGTATGTATGTATGTATGTATGTATGTATGTATG